AAACGTCGTCGTTTCATGCTATTTCTTTAAAAAATTTCCCCAATTAGACAATGCCATTTTCAAACTCTCTCTTCCTCAAACAAGTCGTTTTCAAACTCTCTCTCTCTTCCTGTCACTTAAGTGGTCCCCTTTAAAAAATTTATGAACCTAAGTGTTCACTTCTAAAAATTTATTACACCAAAAAGATTATTCTTGAAGATATTGGAACTTATGCTGTCCTTCAATCAGACACTCAAGCGACGTTGTTTTCCTTCTCAAGTGCTAACTTTAGCTTTCCGACACGCCACGTCGGATGATGTCTTATAGATTAATGCCACGTCAGCTTTTCCGATGAGGCAAAATCCGATGACACTCAAATGATCGATTTTTCAAATTTGTGACACTTAAATGAGAGAGAAAAAGTTATGGCATTCAAATGAGTGCCGCACAAAAGTTATGCCACTCCTAGTATACTTATCCATGCATAAGGCATTTGGTTCGTTTTTTGCTCAACTTTGGGAAAATACAATTGCATTTGCAAAGGTTTCTAAAGGACTTTAGCCCTTGGTAAGTCTGGAGGTACTTTAGAAAATAGCATTCTCAAAATATAAATAGACTTCCTTTTCTTCTAACTTTGCCCTTGCTCAACTTTTATAATTTCGGAAATGTTCTCGAAAACCCTAACTTGCTAGCAAAGGCCTCAGCTACCAGCTAGCCATTGCCACCAGCGACCTTAGGCAAGATTGGCCGTTGGCTAGATCTGGCCGTCAGCAAATACTTTGAGATTTTTTTATTTAAAAAAATTAGCAAAAGTCTTTTTACAAAAGTGTTTTTTTATCAAATGACATTGGGATAAGTGCACTAGAAGTCCTAAAACTTGTCACAAAAGTGCAATTGAGTCCTAAAACTTTCAAAAAGTGCAAACAAGTCTTAAAACTTATCATGAAAGTGCACTTGAATCCTCAAACTTTCAAAAAATGCAAATAAGTCATAAAACTTGTCACGAAAGTACAAACAAGTCCTAAAACTTGTTACCAAAGTGCAAACAAGTCCTAAAACTTTAAAAAAGTACAATCAATGAAAGGACTTAATTGAACCAATTTGACAAGTTTTAGGAATCGTTTGCACTTTCTTGACAAGTTTTAGGACTTGTTTGCACTTTTTTAAAGTTTTAGGACTCAAGTGCACTTTCGTGATAAGTTTTAGGATTTGTTTGTACTTTTTGAAAGTTTTAGGACTCAATTGCACTTTCGTGACAAGTTTTAAGACTTTGAATACACTTATCCCAATGACATTTAGGTCAAAGTTGCCTCCAAATTTGTTTTTAAAATACACTTTACCAAACACTACTTGCATTTCGGAAAACTCCTTTAGCCCAAAGGCCTTTGCATTTCTCCAAAAACATTTCCCAAAGCCGCACCAATGGCCCTGTGAAAGCTCTGGGCTTTCTCATTTCTAAAATGCTAATACATTTTTTAGTTCCAAATTTGCCCTCACTAAATTTTTGAAATTCCATAAACGCCATTACCAATGACACCTCATGCAACGATGCCGCAACGCCATATCATATCGTTGACGAGCTTCAAGGTAATTTGACCTCAGGCAAGAGCTACCTGGGATGGTGCGACCTTAGGCGACGGTCGTCAGGGCTAGACTTGGTTTGTCGACAAAGGGTTTCAATTCTTTTTTCTAAAAGAAGATTGCTAAAGTCCTTTACCGGTGTGATTTTTTCAAACATTGTTAGACCAAAGTGGCTTCCCAATTTATTTTTAAATTACACTTTACCAAACGCTATTTTCATTTAAAAAAAAACTCTTTAACTTAAAGTCCTTTGCATTCTCCCAAAAGTTTCCAAAAACCCAACCAAACACAACCGAAAAAGTTTAATTGAATTTAGCGGGAAAAAAAAAAGAGCATGCTCTTTTTGCATTAAACTATCTTGAAATCTATAAGAAAATATAATATACGGAAACTGCCGAGGGTCTAAGCCCTCGCCATTTATGCTGCTTTCGAAAGTGATGGGATTGGCACCAATTTTCGGGCTGAGAGACGTGGCTGTTTCTAAGTATCCTTTGGACCGCACCCCCATTGATTAAAAATGCATTTTGTATGTAATAACATTTTGTATAACAGTTACGAAAAAAATGCAAGGAGTAATGACTCCACAATTTGTCTCTCGATGGACCATAGAACTGTCTTGGGACACAACGTACAGAACTTGGAACCGCGTCTATATTTATCACTCTTGTTTCCATTTGAAAAGCTTAGATTAATTGGTAAATGTAAATAGATTAAACTTGAAAGTGCTTGATAAGAAAGATTAATTCTCGAAGTATTAAATATATATATATCATGAAAAAAAAAATTATGTACTATAAGGCTACGTTTGGTAGTTCGAATTTGAATCTTGATAGGATAACAAAATATCATATCCAGTGTTTGGCGACATCTTCTGGACCGAATAAACCCGGATAAAATGCCTGATAAGAAATCCAGGTTAGGGGGTAGGATACACCCGGATTGGATAATAAAGTAAGAAAAAAAAAACACAATAATTTCCTTCCATCGATGGAGTGATGGTGGCTGGGGAACACAAGGACCGCCACCACAACAGCCTATCACTCCCGACCACCGTGCAATCATCATTGTCTCCGACCAACGCCAATGGTCATCACCATGCAGCCGATTGTCCTCCGACGATTGTCGAACCGAACCTCCTATCGCTGATGAATGACCCGAAATGGATGGATCGACCCGAAAAGTTGTCTTTGAAAAAGAAGAAGAAGAAAAAAAACTAAAATGCAGGAAGTTTTGGGCATTTGTATGTTGGTCCTAAACGGTGGTCACCTGATTTTGCCGTGATGTTTCAACGTCCAATCCCCCTCTATTCAGATCTGAGACTCTATGCTGACAATCGGCAGATTTCAAAGGAGGAGGAGGAGGAGGAGCTCCGGTAAAAGCGGTGATTGCTGAAAATTGTGCTAGTCTCGGTCCACGGGAAATGATTTTTTACAATCCCTGTAGGATATTTGAAGGATTTATAATCCTACCTTATTCTAGCTTATCCCAATCCAAATCCATGCGACCAAACTCAACCTAAGATCTTTAAATTGAAATTTGCATTGTAGACTATAGTTATTGTGGAAAATGTTTGTAAAACAAGATAAAATATCCCCATTAAAAAACGATAAGGAACTTTTGATAGAAAGAAATTCTCATAAAATCGAGTGCAATGAATAATAGAAGTTCTAATAAAACTAAGTAAGCCTAATATATATTGATAAATACTTTGTAATAGATATAATTGGGGTGGAAAATATAATATACTAAAAATAAGTGTTGATAGATTTAATTTGCAAAAAAAAAATCTTATACAAGAATTTCCGTCAATCATTATGTTCGAATAATAATGCAAGTTAGCATAGAAGAGAATAGGGCCATCAAATGGGTGGTCAGGTCGAAAATCGTCCGACCCAATTAACCGACTTTGACCCATTTGACTCATATCCGACCAAACTCGTACCCAAACCATACCTGACCCAACCCACATTACCAAAACAGTAGATATTTGAAAGCAAGAGCTTTTATGCTATGAGTGGCATAAAAGATAAATTTTATATTAGTTTTATAAGGTTCAAAATAAGATTTTCGACTTGTTTGCGACTTTTTCTTTATTGCAAAATTTTTCGAGTTTCACAATGAAGTATCCGACATCTCTTAAAATCACGTACTGATTTTCACGATTTTCTAAAGCTTGAAAGATCATAAATTTTACTGTTTTTCAATTTTGAGAAAAAAAGAGAAGAAAACCATAAGTAGACGATAAAACTAGAATATAAGTTGCCCCATTTGAAAACCTCCAACTCGAACCCGAAGACAAGTGAAGAGGGATTGCACGTGGATTGGGCTTTAGACCCATTAAAAACCCGCATTTAATTGGACTTTATTATTCGAATTCATATCGACAAATTTAGAAATAATTAGCTAACCAATTCATCACCTATGAGGGTTAACAAATGGGTCTTCAACCCGTTTCAACACTTCTAGAAGAGACCAATGCCACACGACCCGACATAGGAAACACTTGCTTAGGGCGCATGCTGATGCCATCGGATCAGGTCCAACAAGGAAAAGGAGCTATCGACGGCCCAACTCAACAACACTCACGATTGTCTCTCGAGAACAACACGATCTGCCATCTTGATCTGGTATTTAGAATGTCCACCATCTAATTTGAAGACAAACTCGAGATGATTACAGCCGCCGACGCGGCGTACATATGTGAAGCCACGACTGGGGTGTCGCGAAATGTGTCGTCGCCGTGTGCGGGCGTCAGTTAGAACCTCTCGAAAATGCGATTTTGCACCACCATGATAATGCATCGATCAAATAGATATGTAGCATTAATTATTGAAGATTACTATGCGCCAGTGCTTCGCTTCTGATAATCCCTGACGTAGTACCAGTTCAGATTGTCTGAGTGAAGCTTCGAACTCAGTCAATTCGCAGTTAAAAATTTTTGGTTTCTTTCGGACGTGGTAGCACTTCCGAAGCGCGCACAGGCGTGGCAAGACGCATGGCAAGACATTATTCTTAGTCTGGTGAGTAGCATTTACTCAGTTCATGACCCAGTTGCAACAACACAGCAGACATTTCCCAGCCTGTATCAGTCCATCATATCTAAGCAAGTTGGAGTACGGATGGATACCATCCATACTTCTTAAAAGCCCACTCAAAAGCTAGATTTCAATGACTATCTACAGGGCTGAGCTTCAAGTACCAGGTTTTTGCAGATGCACTAGTGGTAGAATTTGTACATAACACAAAAATGAACATCGCAAACATAAACAATCCCAGAGAGAGAGAGAGAGAGAATCACAACACCTTGAATTTGAAATAACCCATTGAATGTAATTAGGCGCCGGAGTTCGGTAACGGGAGTGCACGCCTTGTCAAGAAACAGACCATTCGCAAGAGCCAGAAGTTCGACTGAACCACTTTCATTTCTCAAGCTCGCGATATGCATTGAACTCATGATGGGGACATCAAAAGCATTCCTCATTTTTTTGCCCCTTTTTTCTAGTTCATTTACTGAAAATGAAGCAAAGGCAGTGCAAGGATTTTAACTGGGTCTCTACAAGCAATGATTTCCTTCAGATTCTTTCCACAGATCAACAGATTCCTCATTGGCAATCCAAAAGAAGAATGGGGAAGGACAAATAGGAAATCAATGAAGCCACAAAAGATTGGAGAACAACAGAGGGGCTGATTGCTAAAACTCCGGTTAACAGAACTTTCTACTGAAAATTCGATTTACCAGACAAAACTTTACATCACGGATCGACTTTCTCTTCGGCAATGCGTTCTGCCACTTGGAGCGGTTTTCTCGGGTCCTTCACTATAAGATGTCCTCTAGGGCCACCTGCAAATTCAGAAGGCAGCAACCACTAACTGCTTAGGCAGATGGTTAACAATCATCCTTTCCAGAGCTCTAGTCCAGGCATGCCTACTTATTGTGCTCACTGAACTCAACAGCCAAAAAAAGAAGCTACATGAGATCCTTAAAAGAATCACCTGAAGGGTTTGAGATCCGATTGCCTGATCCAGTGCCGTGACTAGAGTCGGCGGTGGCAGGCGACTTCCCATGAAAGTCTCGTGAAAATGACACGCTTGCTTTATTTTCTCCGGTGAGAACGTTGCTTTCATTAGTTGGCCTTGTGCCGGATTTGGGCGAGTACATTGTTGACCATGATCCTCCATTTGATCCGGCCAAAGCCATTATGACATCTGCCTGAAAAGTGGACGGTACAAATCAAGGAATTTCCAAAGTTTAATCATCCCCGCAAAGAAAAGGACACTATTAGGAATCACAATGAAATGTTGACAGTATGTTTTCCAAGCCATTGGAAATTAAACATGAGAATCCTCAAGAACAAACACCTTCACATTGACCAAGAAAAACTATTAACTACACCTGTATCTCTGCCGTGACCTATTAGCTGATTTCTCTCTAACTTCAAAATTTTCAATTGATGTTGCTTGGATTTGAACCAGCCATGATATAGAACTACTAAACTTCAAAAGAGAATGTGCAGAGGAAGGAACATGCCTTTCAAAGTATTAGCATTTGCCAACATCCATAGACAAATATAGGCATGACACAAGGCACTACTTTTGAGTGAATCAGTCGATCCCAAGCAATGTTTTTTGCAACAAATAACTAAGCAACGCAACCCAGGTCACTCCCTTAGAAAAATCCACTGCCTTGATTCTGTTACTCCTTTCGGGGTGAAAAAAACCACTTAAAGGTAACAGATTATGGCTGCCCTAAAAGTACCACTGTACAAGGCCTGGAAGGTGTCTCCACTAAAATAGCAGAGAAAATGAACTGGCCTAAAGTATCAATTTTTATGACAAAAATAGACAAAACAACGTATGACAGGAAAATTCACCGCCCTAAGATGAAGTCCCAAATAGATCATCATACAGGATTTAAGATACAGGGAAGTATATCCGGCAAATCATTATCCAAGTTACTGCATAACCAGACTCAAAACAGTAATTTTCCAACACCCAGCTGCCTCATCATAATGGTTGCTCAAGTCCCGGGCAGAGTTTTCAGAATATCTATGCTTTAGAAACAAAGAGATGATTTTACCCACAGATAAGAGATCAATGCTGAAAAGCAACAGACATCGCGGTTCTACTGGTGAAAATCTTGAAGGCCGTGACTTTTCAACAACATATCCCCCTTAATTAAAAGATAAAGCCATGTAAAGTGTAGTTAAGTTCAAATAACAGCTAACACTGCTCTATTTTAGTCAAAATACAACAACTTGTATGATCTGCAACCTATCGCTTTTCCTGCCTCAGCTGGACAAACTAATATGATTTCCTACCCTACTATGGAAGCATATTCATGATAAAACCACCACTGTGCCATAAAGAGGTCATTTCTCAGCAATAATAAAAACAGAAAGTAAGTGATGGTGTCAGTTGTGGGTGTGCGCGCGCGCGTGTGTGTGTGAGAGAGAGAGAGAGAGAGAGTACATCCATTGGTACTAAGAGAAGCCAGTCCGTCCTTAAAAAACTCAGGGGGTGCAATTATTACAATTTTATCAGAGAAAGAACAGTTATTCTCATTTAGCTTTCTGATAAACAGTTTACTGAAACATAAGCCGTAGTTACCATTCTTTCTTCAAATAGAACATGGTCGCTACCCCAAAAACATGCTCCTCTCAAGTCAGTCATGTTTTAAATTTATCCCATGATAACAAAACTTTGGTTTTGACATTCTCCCTCACAAGAAGAATACCTTATCTTGATAGAAATTAAAGTGAACAGATTGAAGGTGATTTGGTAATCTTATCCCACTTAGAGGAATGCAGAGGTAGCACTAGCACATAAGGATAGTCTAACAGTTTCTCCTAAAGAGTGAAAATAAGGAACATATAAACTAGATTTTGTCGAATATCAGCAACATTATCCTTAACTTATATACCATGGAAGGCACACAGCGTGCATGCAAAATGACTTTAGCTACACCGTACAGTGATGAGGCTTGGCAATGAATTGTATCAAGCAATCCTATTTTCTTACAGAAAAGACTGTGACAATCACAAAGCAGCTGCCCTCCCCTTTTCTTCCCATCTCCAACAACCAAAAAATTGCGAGAGGGATTTCATCATTGTTGTCTAGAAAGCTAGTACTGAACATCCAAGCAAGAAAAATTCAGATGGCAGAGCCTCGACGCCTAGAAAAATGCAAAAGAATTATCCCCTAAGATTATGAAGTTGTGGAAAATGCCTGTGTTTGTTTTGCTGCAATTTTCAATTCAACTTGCTGTATCTCGCGAATCCCTGAAGCTGAACAAATGGGATGCCTCGAAATATGGTCTTGATTGTTCATTCTCCCGTAGAAAAAAACACGTCGTTTTCAAGGGCCAAAGATTGGGTGGGGTATGTATGGATCTCAAGATTGATCTCAGTGCCAACTCAGTGCACAAGAAGCTCGAGATCCCTGCTTATCGGTATAAGGCCTGCTAAGTGCCAAATGACAAGCTCGTGCATTGGAAGCAGAAGATTCCAGCATCAGAAAGCTTTTCTAATCCCCTAATGTAACTTGGAAAAGAGTTAAAGGACAGACACAAGAGACACTAGAGGTAAAAAAATCTTAACAAGAACTTGACATAGAATCACCCCATTTGCTTAATTTTGCAAATGTTACGAAGCTTCAGCATTGCGAACTGGAATAAACAACTCATTCTTCACATCATGAAATCCAAATTAACAACAAAGACAGATAGTAATACCTTGTTTGGGTGGACATCATCAAAAACATGAGCTTGGCCACAATAGAATATAGTCATTTGCCGACTTTCTGATGTCAATCCAGGTCGACTGCCGAAAGAAGCATTGAAAGGATCAAAAAACATTGGACTTCAAACACATTTAACTAAAAGGAATAACATCTGCACAAAACACGCGATTCACCTCGGGGGGTTGAAAGACTCTGGCTCTGTAATTAGTGTCGCAGTCTTTGCCCTGTTGCCACTAGGAGGCATTGCAGACAAGTTCTTCTCGGAGCTGGTACCGGCAGTCATTGAGCTCAAAATTCCGGGGCCTTTGATCCCAGTTCTAGACCCTTCATCAGCAGCCGATTGTGAGAGAACTGGAGGGCTCGGGTGGACTTCCCTGAATCTGTTTGGAGGCACATTGTGAACAAAAGGAACGTATTGACCTCCTCGTGGAGCAAACTGAACTGCAGGGCCCAAATTCATGGGCATGGGCCGCTCCCATTTGGAAACAGTCGCCTCATTTCTACTGCTAGAACCCGGGTGCAATATAAGCGAGCCAGAAGATTGCCTCAGCGGCTGCACACCCAGTAAAACCTCCTCTTCATTTGACCTTCTAGGCCTCTCTCCTCCTGCCCCATTTCGAAGAATCTGGATATGTAACGAGAAAAGACACACAGAGAATACAATGAAGTAGAAACTTGAACTCCAATTTCTTCACCCTGCTTATAATTAGTTAGTTTCACGTCAATCCTCTATTCAAAGAAAAACACTAACACAAGAAGATTCAAACCTTCATTAAATGTAAATTCTCATTCGAATCGGGTCCTCGCTGAGTCATTGCTTCTCTGGTTGAGCCAATGAAGGCAGAGTCTGAGGCACTTCGCTTACTCCCTGCTAATCTGCGACTTATTTCGGCTTCACTCCTCGGAACATAGTAGGGAACGCCCTCGAAATGATTACTAACCTGTCTTTCTATCATAATTGATGAGAAACTGATCAAAACTCGCCTTTAGGCCACAGAAGGTAAATGATATTGCAGCTATTTCACTTTACAAAGGTCACTCGATTTAACAGCCAAAAGCAGGAAGAACAGGTGCATCCATATATATGTATATGTGATTGTGAGCAAGCATGAATGTTTCAAGAGGGAAAAAGTCCTAGAGATTGAGTGAGCCTACTAGTGAGCAAAAGTATATGCAAATCAAGCCTACTTCTGTGAAAAGAAAAAGGCGGTCAATCAAAGGCTCAGAACTTTTCTTTTTTGGAAGAAAAAAGATCCTTAAAAAAGCTACCAAAACCATTAATGATCTCCCTCCAAACTGCTCCACAACCCAGATAGTGCAACCACTCCACTCAAAGAGCGAGAGAGAGACTGAGTCACCATTCAAATATGTGAAACTCCCCCAATTAGCATGTAGCTAAAGAACAAGTAGACATGCACCAGGAAACTTAAAGCTATTTAATGGCGCATCCACACTTGATAGCATCAGATAAAGGGAAGAAGAAAAAAAAAAGGAGCATCATGTCCATATCTGCCAATGAAAATCACCCAGCAAAGCCAAAGAAAAAGGAAAAAGAAAACAAAAAGGGAGTGAGGGAAAAGAAGGAGAAGACGAAGAAATTCACACCAGCACTCATCACACCAGGGAAAACAATATGCCTCGAAAAGCAAAGGCAAAAAAAAAACAGAAAGCAAAAAAAGTATCCGTTGAACAAGACATCAAAACCGAAGTTTCATCTTCATCACCAAATGCCAAATCAAACAGACCCAACACAACCCCCCAAAGAAAAGAAAATCAAAAACAGAACCAAAAAACCAGAAAAAAAAATTCAATTTTGAGCAGAACACTGAAAAACTCACCGGACCCCAGATCAGAGGTGGTGGAGATAGGCCCTCGCCCGCCGCCGGAGGAGGCCCCCACGGACAGGGAGGCGGCCGGCGACGCCGCCTCCGACGGGCGGGCGTCCCCGCCGCGCCCGCCGGCGGCGGCGGCGGCGGCGGCGGGGGAATCGGGCTTCTTCATGCCGAGGAAGTCATGGAACATGGGCTTCACCTCCTGCTGCTGCTGCTGCAGTGGGGCCTCGCTGTTGCCGCCGCCGTTGCCGGCAATGTGGGGTTTGTTGGTTTGCGCCATTTTCACCGATACGGCCATTTACAACCCCATATCACGAGAGGGGAAGGCAGGACCAGAGAGAGAGAGAGAGAGCAAGAGGGCACGATTTCTCAAGCAAAGACAAACAAGGAGAGGGAAAGAGAGGGAGAGAGAGAGGAGAGAATCAAGGCACTTTCTTTAAGAGAGAGAGAGAGAGAGAGAGAGAGAGAGCATTAAAAAGCAAAAGGTAGTTCACAGGTGTTGTGTTCGATGCTATTGGGTCTCTTGTCCCAGTCCCCTGTTTTTCTCTCTCATCGATGCGAGACTTTCGTCTTTTCTTGGAGAGCGAAGAGGGAGTATGGATGTTGTTGTTGCTGCTGCTGCTGTTGTTTCTGGAAGTGTGTGTGTGTGTGTGTGTGTGTTTGGTAGTGAATGTTTTTCCTGTTCGGGTAGATAGTTTTTCTCTTCTGCTGTTTGACTCGGGAGGTGAGAGATGAGGGGAGATGAGGGAGACTTTTTTAGGGAGAGAGAGAGAGAGAGAGAGAGACAGTACGAGGAGAATTTATGCTATTTGCTTTGTAAATAGAATGTTTTCCGCGGGTACGCCCCTTGAAAGTTTGGTATTTATTTCGAGGTCCCTGGTTTTCTCATTAATTTCGGTTTTCGCCCGTCTGTTTGCCAATGGGGAGGGGAAGATCAAGAATGGAGAGATGAAACACCCTTCAGGGGTTTGGCATAGGAGGAAACGGTCGAAATGATCGAAATCCGTGTAAATGAAGATGTGGGAAGGATCCGTTACGAGAATCACTCTTCGGGAGATGAAAAGGCTTCCCTTTTGAATTCGAAGGCATACGTGGTGAGACGTACCAGCACAGGTGAACACCTGTAGAAAGGTTTCGTACACACAGAGATGTAGCTCCCGTGAGATGCCATGCGTGTAGAGTAGGAGTGATCGGTTCAAGGATAGGTAGGTTCCATATCTAGAACCTGGAACCTACCTTGTTAGAAGCGGTTTCCATTTTTTGGAGCTTGGAACCTATCATGTTTATCTTGGAACTGACTCTAGAACTTATCGTGTTTGTTTGGTCCGGTTCCAGGATCAACCCAGGAACCGGTTTCTTTTTCTTTGCTTCATTTAAAAAAAAAAAAAACCAAGACAAAGCACAATTATAGCAAAATAGTATGTGCAACAAAACGGTTCAAAATAAAACATCGATACAAAACAAATAGAAATATAAAGTAATAGGGAAGTTAAGCTCATTTAAGAATAATAAATCATATTCTTCAAACTTCAAAAAACAGGTTCTAATCGATTCCTCAATGAGTGGGTGGGTGGATAGGTTCAACACCCAAAACATGGAACCTATCCACCCAATAGCAGTTCCAAAATTTTGAAATTGGGAATCGGACCTGTTTTTATGGACAGTTGGATTCGATTCTTGGGTAGAACCGGACTAATTGCACATCCCTAATGTAAAGTGTCGTCAATGCAATGTCCCGAAGCATCCATGCCATTGCTTTCCAAATACAATTTTTTGCACGAGGCATCTTTTAAAAGTTTGATATTTATTGTGAGGTCTTGGTCGGTTTTCGCTATTTGTTTGCCAGGATGAAGAATGAAGATGGAAACACACTTCAGGGATTTGGCACCGAGAAAACTATTGAAATTGCACATAAAAATGAAATATGAAAATGATCCGTCATGAGAATCACTCTTCGAAAGATGAAAGGATTCCCCTTTCGAATTCAAAGGCGAGTGCATGAGCGTACGTCAGGAAACATACATGCATGAGTAAACACCTGTACAAAGACTCCGTACACGTAGAGGCATAACGCTTGCGAGGCTCCATGCATGGAGAGCGTCATCAACGCAACGCGTCGAGAAAAAGGTACTGGGGCGGCCAAGTGTTAGCCCTATTCATAACGGCCGTTGTACTTCAAACAAAATGTATAATCGAGTTTCATAATCTTTCCAACGTTCAACTTCCAAAAAAAAAAGAAAAGGGAAATAATTTGTGTTCATCAATTATTTTACTTTAATTATAAATTAGACTTGCTTCTAGATTGCTAATTAGGAGAGGTTGGTAGATAAAAAAGTTTGGTACTAAAAGAAAAGGAGCTGAAACCAGCCAGAAATGGCAATGGCTAGAGAGAGACCACTCTAAGGTGAGAAAGAAGGCACCAATTGATTGCTCTTCGTTTCATTCTTGGGCTGGAGAAAATTAAAAGAGAGAACAAAGGAGGCAGACAACTCCACAAACTAGCCGGCTAATAGCTACTCATATTATATTTGCAAGTGTGATAAGAGCTAATTCCAATTAGCATGATATAAGACAAAAGTTAAGTACCACTTTTCACTAAGAGAGAGAGAGAGAGAGTGCTGGGATTATAATAATGGTTTTTTTTTTCTGGAACATAATTAATAAGGAAGAGAGTTGGTTCAACCAGATTCATTGTCCTCCTGCCAGGCATCAATTACTCTTTTTGACATCCTACATCACATTATGCCAAAAAGGGCATTAGTGATGAAGCATAAAGGCTGAGGAAAACATAGTGGGAGAGGGAAATGTGAGTACTTGTCCATGCCTTGGGCAAAGAGCTATCTAGCTCTCTTCCCCCATCGCCTGTTTGATTTCGTGTCGGCCGCTTTAATATAGACTTGATCATGAACTTGGTAACGAGTTTAGACTTGTTTAGGCCTAAAGTGTAAATAGGCGAGCTTGGGAAAAAATCATAAATTAGAAGGGTCCGCTCTAAACTTCGAAATTATTGCTAAAGGGGCGCCCGGGCGATTCGATTTAGGTTCATGGGATTTTAGTAGGTGCTCCAAGATACTTTCTTTTTTTGTACTGTTTCTTCAAGCGAGCAATAGAGCAAAATCTGTTGTCTTAGCCGGCCAGCTCGTATGATTTCTAGCCTGTGGGTTTATGAAAACGTAGAGAGAAATGTCATGAACACTTCGAAGATCGATGAAAAACGGCCAAAGAGACGAATCAAGTCGATTTCCTCCAGAAAACAATTTAAACGTGAGCAATGAGCAATGAGCAAGGTATCAACACTATGTTCAATATTTTTCAAGAGAAATGCTATAAACAAACAAAAGCTCGAGATTATATTTAGAGTACATATTTGATTCGATTCCTTACCTCGATGTCATTTACATTGATCCACGACACGTTATCGCGTGATTCTCGAATTGTTTTTGACGAGGATCCTCTCGCTAGGGATGCATTTGGATACACGGTGTGATAGTTGCATACGACACGCTCGAAGCTATGCCCTCTCTCTTGTGTCGAACGCTTTAAGCGATTCAGCCGCCCCAATTACAATCATTGAATGTCGAGTATTGATGAAGATATCTTCATACTGCGAAGAGAAAAAAAGAAAATTCATAATAATCAACGCTACATGATTTATGGTGCGGTGCTCGGAAAATAACAATCCAGACTTCGGATTATGTACGTAATTAAAAAACTGAGGAATTGGGATTACCATATGTTAAGAGGTAATCTTTACCAATGCTACATAAAATTGATACATAAACTACTTTCTTTCGAATGTGCCTCTCTCTATATTTAGGCTCAACTATCATTAGGCCCCTCCAATTGCATTTCTTCCTATCCATCGCGATCTTTATCGCGAATGAAAGGGATGAAATTTATATCACTACGTAAGTTGATCGAGACTAATACATTCGAAGCATCCGGTAATTCTCTTTCTACGATTATGTGTAAGTAAAGCGTCTCTCACATCGATATATAACTCGGCTACAATGAATTAATATTTCATAATCCATTGGTAATCAAGGCGAATAGTGATTGCAACTCATCAATCAAATAAGCACAAAACACGTTCTTTAATCAGTTATTAACCAAAGTCGGTGAGGAAATAAGTTTTAGCAAACTCTTTATATTATTTTTTCGACCAAAAGAAAAACTCTTTATATTTCACGTGAACATGTCGTCCAAAAATTTATGCCGATAGATCGTCAATAGGAAAAGATTAAGATACCCAAATTTGGCTTTGGCCATGACATATTTATTGATCATCAAATTGCTAATTTTTTAGTAGGGGAAACTTTCTAGAAAATGGAAATTAATAGTGTATAATTTGTCTATTTTCTGTACGGTAAAGAGAAAAATTAATATCAAGGACGAGTCTGATTCTTGTGGTCGTGAAAACCCTTAGTATTTCGAAATTCGTGTGCTTTACTTTTAATTCTTATATTTAAATTTAAAAAAAATAAAGAGCCAAAAGAGGCGAACAACTGGAAAAGGGACAAGATGTGATATTGACAATGCGGACATTCCCGTTTTGTCGACAAACGACGAAGATATTTTCCGCACCCCTTTTCATCTTCCAAATATAATTTAAGGCTATTACCATCAATTATCTCAAATTAATACACTCATATCATATTTACCTCGAATTAATTTTTATATTACAAAAATCTCCAAACTGATGCACCAAACTATCCCAAACAGGTATACTCATGCCACCTTAATATGAGATTTTTGGGGTAAATGGCACGAGCATACCAGTTTAGAGTAAATAAGGCACAGATGTAACCTTTAGGGTTTTTCACGAGACAAAAATTAATTTGAAGTAAATGTGACACGGATGTACCGATTTGGGGTAAATATGGCACGGATGTACCAGTTCGAAAGTTTTTATGACACAAAAATTAGTTTAGAGTAAATATGGCACGAATGTACCAGTTTAAGGTTTTTCATGGTATTAACCCTGTAAATCATATCTTAAAAGAATAGGTGAAATCTTCGAATGATTTGGAAAATAATTTTCTGAAAATGATTGCTCGTATCGTTTGAAAAAATTTATCAATGAAAAATATTTTCATTACCGATAATAAGTTTATATTAAAACATTTTGGTGAGCAATGATAACATTTTCAGTTCATTCATTTTCGTGAGCGATACAAACGATCATCTCCAGAAAAATATTTTTCAAATCATCTATTTTCCGCGAAACAAGCACACACCCTTTCGAACCCATTTTCCGTCCGACTATTTTTCTGGCTCATAAAATATTTTGTCATTTAGCCATGACTGGTCAAACGTGGTAAAGCAAACTGCGAAGGTCGAATCATGGGCTATTTTCAAAGTGGTAACGTTAGGTATTAGAGCAATGAGAACCATGAAATGGAATATTGGGAAAAAAATTTAAAAAAAAAAGGAGGAAAAATGAAAGAAAGTGATCGTAATGATAATAATGATAATAATAATAAGACGAATTGAAGATCGTGTGTGGGAACCCCACCGCATCACGTGCACGATACTTTCGCTCGCGGGACTCTCTCGCTCCACTCTAACGTCGTATGATTCGCGTTTCATGATTGTCAAAAGGAGATTGTATGTAAAATGGAGCAATAATATAAGAGAGAATTGCCACTCATCATGGTCATTATGGTCTCTCTTTTTGTTAGAGGTTAGGGGGTGTGCATCGGTCCCGGTCCAACTCGGGAACCGGACCGGATTTGCCGGTTCTGGATGGTTCTCGCGAACTCGGTCCCGTTCCCGGTTTCGAGTTTTTGGAATCGGGAATAATCGGTCCGGTTCCCGGTTCTTGGAAAGGAAACGTGCCGATTGGACTGGACCAGATCGAACCGGCGGAAACCATAAATTTTTTTTTGAAAACAAAGTATTGACCGAGCAGTATGTTCCCGGTTGCTTGTGAGTCTATTTCGTTTATTTTTACTTTTTGCATAGCAGTGACACTGCGGGTCCTCGGTACTAGGGTGGACAGAGTCCTTTCTCGGTTACACAGACTAGGAATTAATCCTGTCCGATCCGGTTCTCTATTCCAGGGTGGGAACTAACTCACCCTGAAATCCATCACCTCTAGTTAGAAGCGAATCAAGTGATCACCACCATTTCTTTTGTTAATTAAGCATGGAAGAGAAATTTACACACTCCTCCCGAAATCTCATTTTGCCCCTCTTGAAAGTTTCTTTATTTCTCTTTATTGGCCTTGAAAATCTCTCGAGTTATTACTCACTCCAATCGAAATTCTCCGCCCAAACAAGAGACGCGAAAGAGTCGAGCCACTCATGAGCTATTTAAACTCGATCGGTGAATTACCGGAGCTCCACTCGAAGTCGAGCTCAAACTCGAAACCACGCTCGGCCGGATAGTCAAAACTCCCACATGATTTAACAACATGGGAACATTTTTTTTTAGGGGTAAGAGCATAGAACTATTTCTAAAATTACAATTATGGGGATAATGTCGGTTTTCGTTTCTTGTTGTCTATTCAAAACTCTGAGTTTGAATTTGGGACTAAAGATTTTCTTGTCGATCGGGTTGAGTCGTGCTCCTTAAGTGTTGAGAAACCTAATTGAGTGGGAAGCTCGAAGCCTGTGAAATGATGCTCAAAATCGAGCGTTGAGCTGTACATAATGGACTATCAAACCGTGCCTACACGAGCTAGTTGCGCTCTCTAGAAGAAGAGAAAAGAGGAGCAAACGGAAAGTCCAATCCATGGGATACATGTCACATTTATTACATGAAGAGTAGTAAAGTCTTCTTAAGATTTGGCCGCGGGATTCCGAAAGGAATTGTCTCACAAATCAATCATTGTCATTGACATGTTACCATCAAGCACTCGTATTTTGAACCCTTTATTTTCAAACCTAATCACGAAATCGAGATAAAGGTGATGGGTACATAAAGACCCCGAGGCACGTCGAAAGGGGAGGTCCGAAATTGTTAGACAGTCTCATCTTTCGAGGGACCAGGCATATGTACCAACATTGCTTGTGCACACCCAAGCGACAGTGGGACTAAAAGTGAGTTTGACGATACATCACCTAGATCGCCAAAAGAAAACCCTAACAAGGCGGCGCCGGGGTCGGGCGAGCCAAGCGAGGCGGCCTCGGGGTCACGCAACCCTGGCAATACCAAATCTCGCTCGGGGTCGCACAACCTCGACAAGTGGTCAAATACAATATTAATACCTTTCAGACTTTTAAGATCACGGAACAGTGATTAAAGAAAGCATATGTGATTATCTTAAGAACTCCACGAAAATTAGTCCCCCCCGCTTCTAGAAACAACGAGGAAAAAGCAAGTCCACTTTGCAATACCAATCATGCACGACAGCACGAGAGGGATCCCCCCGGAAATTCTTTGTTAACAAATCGACAATCCTGTCACGAGCACCAGCACTGCTCGAGATATAAAAAATGGAATGTCTCAAACACACGGCTTCAGTCACTATAAAGATCAACAATAACAACAACAACAACAACAACATATGTCAATGTCACCATCCCGAGCTTCCACTGCGTAAAAAAAAAACCCTTAGCAGGAGTTACAATCGGATTCCACAACCCGATGATCTCATTCGTCCCGGACCATATCGAACATTTCGGCTCTAAAATAATGCCCGCGATCGCGCACCGAACAAGCAGCGAGCATCCCTTTCGCCGATGTCGGGCTCCAATATATAATAAAAGGGTCGCGAGCGAGATGATTGTTAAGGTTAAACAAGCAGGCCCCGCCAATAATTAGGGACGTCGACGCCATTGAAATGGAGGAACAGATTCAGAAGCGTGTAAGCAACAACTGGATTCCTTACACCCCCACAAGCGATTCCAATTCCTGTGTGGACCATCTCAAACCTGCGTCAGTGGAAATAAGTCAGAGTGGGATCGGATTCACCATCCGGCGCTCGGGTTTAACATCGGAAGCGGTGATGCTTTCGCTAGCAACTTGACACGGATCATGGGTGAATACCATCTTGCAGAAAGTACCGAGATTTTGCTTATATCAAAAGGATGCTCGGGGGCGTAAGGACCCAAGTGGATGGTTAAAAAATGGTCTGCGATTTAAGTGTATCCAAAAGCAGACATCAGACACGACGACAAAAACGGGCCGAGTCATTCAAGATGATATACGACAGTGACTGCACACTCAGCCGATTAAGAGATGCAGAGGTGGGATTCATCACAAGGCTATTAAGTATCTCCAACTCCAGGATACTTTTCTGAAACTGGGAGTGCACGCAGATGAAATTTTTCCGTAACCTGCTCCGATCTCTTTTTAGGGTCCCCCTGCACGTGTACTGCCGAGATTAGCTCCACCTCTGGACATCTCCATCGCAAATCACGCAGGAAACCACCGAGCTTGAGCTACCAAACGAAAAATCTGAAAAGTTAAGTAGAGAGGAAGATGTGCATGACGGCGATGCAATTTGTCCTGGTTCAACCGGTGTTTGCTCCTGGTATGAGTTTGCGAGCCCAAAGAAAGAACAAAAAATCAGTGCCAGTAGCTACCTCAAAGGAGACAAATAGCACCAAACCTGGAAAGATAAAAGTTCCCCACTTGGACCACTACAAATACGATATGGTACAGATAGCACCTAGAACTAGATGCTTGATTCGGGCGGCTCAGCTCAAGGCACGGCAATGATGCACGGCCTACCCGCAACATGCCTCTATAACTGAAAAACTTTATTGAAGGATCAAGAAAGTGCACACACAAGGAGCGCACAAAGGGAAATCTTTCGGCCAAAAGAGAAAACAACAGGAAAAATTTGCAGCTATGCCACCTGTCGAGCGAATTCCGCAGAAATATTATCAGCTCAACAAAGCCAATGCGATTTCGAGATTTTTCCAATTAGTACTTTGAGGAATCTAGCTTATTGACAAATATTCTCACCCCACTCTGGACATAATTCCAGGACCACCCACTCCAGACATAATTCCAGAAAGTCCTACATATAAAGATTTCATAATGAAAATGGGACGGGGAAGATGGAGATACACTTCCCATACCAATCTAGGAAAAATTAGGGAAAATGACACAAACAATCCCTGAACTTTGGCCCAATGTGCAATTTGATCCCTGAACTTTTAATTTGTTCAATATAGTCCATGAACTTTAGTCTAATATTCAATTTGGTCCCTGAACTTTTAATTTATTCAATGTGATCCCTGAACTTTTAATTAATTCAATGTGATCCTTGAACTTTTATTACATATTCAATTTAGTCCCTGAACTATATGAAAATGTTCAATGTAGTCCTTCCATTAATTCGAGTTCAGGGACTACATTGAACATTTTCATATAGTTTAGGGACTAACTTAATCATGTACCAAAAATCCAGGGACCGCATTGAACAGATTAAAAGTTCAGGGACCAAATTGAACCTTAGGTTAAAGTTTAGAGATTACATTGAACAATTTAAAAGTTCAGGGACCAAATTGCACATTGGACCAAAGTTCAGGGACCGTTTGTGTCATTATCCCGGAAAAATAAAAAAGAAAAGAAAGGAACAAGAACCATATCATGCATCAGTTCTTACTCCGAAACAGGAGAAATTCTTAGAAAAGATAAGAGATTCCAACAAACAAGACAGTTCAATTTACCAAATTCTGAAAACCCAGTAGATGAAGGCATCATGAAAATACAAGTTGAACACGAGCAGGAGAGAAAATTTGTTGAGATGGTCTGAACCTAGGAGGGCACACCACATTTGACCCTAAAATAATATTACCAATGACAAAGTTAACTCATTCTCACAAAGTTTTAATTATTTATTGAACAAATCTGGGTGTATTCAACAATGAGTCATACGTCCAAACAATCAATGACACATTTGACACCATCTATTGACAGAACACAATGATACAGCACCAATTGTCAACGTGAAGATACCCAACTGAAAAATGTAAACAAATAATCTCAGGAAGATACTCAACAGACAAGGACATTCTACTGCAATATGACCTATTACAAAATTAAAACTCACTGACACAATGACTCAATGTCCTGTCAACAGATATAGGGATAAAAGGAAGGGGGGGGGGGGGAGAGGGGAGGGAGGGGCGGGAGGGGGAGAGAAAATGGTAACCTCAAAAAAATCAAAATGTGCAACCACACAATTCCTTCAAGCAGCAGGACAAACAAACTTACATAGTATTAAGGTAATCTCAGCATATTAACCATGTCAAAATGCCGCCTGTCCATGCTTCACTAAACAAGAGGGAAGAATACAGCTGCCACAAGTTCTTTGCTTTTACGCAAGCATAAAACTCTGATGGAATTCTGGCAGCTCAAAAACTCAGAAGTTTCTGCCACAAGCTCAACATCATTCTCACTTAACCGCCACCTGCCACTATGACTCTTCACATCCCACTTTCAACAATATACATACTTATATGTGACCGAGTCGGTCTTTATACACACCATTTAATTTTGAGAAGCTGTATCATTAACTTATAAGCTACAAAAGTAGGAGAGAAAGACTCATTATCAGAACTGCTTGAGAATGACTTCGTAGAGAAAGGTTGACGAAGACATCTTCAGTCACTGGACTGTAAATGAAGCCAAGAAGAAGATCGCTTCACCGCAGCACCAATTTATTTTGCAACTGTAAATTCGTTTTAGCACTTATCCTCTAGTTCTCAATTCGTTTGAATTTGACACGCTGGCTAATGAACTTCTACGCTTCACAAGTTTTCTTGGATTGTTACAATCTTTTACGATATCAGACATAGCTTCAGCTTTTTGCATGATCAACGTTCTCCTTGCACGTAACAAACCCCCTTGCCTGCAGTACATGTTCGGCAGATTCGTAGAATGAGGCACAGAGGACATCAAATCACGTAATTTGCACGCCAGTTCAGTCATACCGCACTTGTGCAACTCATCCTTTAATCTCTGAAAGGTAATGTACTGTGGAACTACACCCCTCCGTATCATGTCCTCAAACTCTAGAACAGCCTCTTCAAATTTGTACATTCTACAAAGCAGATGAATTAACATTGTGCTAGTTGCTAGATCCATGTCAAGGCCTCTCGTTTTCATTTCCTTGCTAACCTGCACAGCCAATTCAAGTCTCTCCTCCTCACACAACAATTTTAGAAGAAGATGGTAAGTGAGACGATCCGGGGTGTAGCCAGATTCTATCATCTTGGTATAGAGGTTCATGCCCTCCTCAATTTTACCAGATTTGGAGAAGTACCAGAAGAAGTAGTTATAAGTTGTAGGCGTTGGGACAACGCCTCTGCTTATCATCATTTTGATGATCCTACTCGCACCAACAAGATCCCCTGCCTTGCAAAACCCTTTTATCAAGGAATTGTAAGTGGAGATAGTGGGCCCAGATTCACAGACCAAAAACCGTTCCACCATCCCTAAAGCCTCCTCAAATCTACCTGCTTCGGCCAACGCATCAATGATCGGATTAAACACAACCGCATTTGGCTCGATCCCTTCTCTCTTCATCTCGTCAATCAACTCCTTTGCCCTCTCAACCTGCTGCATCCTGCAATATCCTTCCACAAGGGTACCGTAAGTTACAACCGTGGGCTTCACATTCTCCTTCTTCATCTCCGCCCAAAATGCTTCGGCACACTCCATATTCTTAGATCTAAGCCATCCATTCAACAATATATTATGTACACGGATTGACGGAATCCAATTAGATTTCGATCCTCTTGTGTAGGAAAGGTAGTCTGAAGCTACCCTAACATGCCCTTCTTTACAAAGGGAGTCCAACAGTATCTCCAGCAATTTCATTTCCGAATCAGCATTCTGAATGAAATCCAAACCACTGGCAAATTCGAACGTTCGAATAGCCAGTTGAGTCCTACCTGCAAAATAGCACCCCCTCATAAGAATCCAACATTTGAGATGATGGAGATATCAGTCCAAAGTTCAGAACAAGAACTAAATTCTTCTTCTTTTCACACGCGCGTTTCGCGAAACCCCGCTAACAAAATTCAGACTCGAACTAAGCGTCGAAGCAAGCTCCGCGAACCGGGAAGAGAGGGGAAAAAATCACAAATCTTCTACCTGCAAAAGCACTCACTGTCACATTGCCTAACCTACTAAAACTACCCAAATCTCCAAATCTTCATGCAAGTTTACATCTTCGGGTTGCTTATAATTGAAGATGCGGGTGTGCTTCTTCTCTGAAATTCATCTGGTAGCAAAATACAGCAAGGTGATGACTTCGTACCTGCTCGAGCATACCGTCTGATCATTATGGCGAAGGTATCCGCCGAAACCAGCACAGGCTCCCCATTGCCCCGGAGCCGACCGTTGATCAGCTCCCACGCGGCATCGAAGTCCCTCGCCTTCCCGAGCGCGTTGATCATCGAGTTGAACAGCCCCGCGGACGGCCGAAACTCCGGCTGCTTCTCCGCCCACCGGAACAGACCGAACAGCAGCTTCGGAGACGAGTCGAAACGGGCGAATATCGCCTCCATCAGGTCGTTCCGAGGTCGGACTCCGGCCTCATCGAGCGCGGAGTCGAGAGCGGGGCCGGCGGCGAGGCCGGGTTCCGCGAACAGGTCGGAGATGGCGTCGAAGGCGTCCCGCGGGAAGTCGAGGCCGCGACCGTGGTCGGGGCTGGGGCCGGCGGGCGGAGGCTGGACGGGGATTAGGTGCGGCGGCGCGGCCCGCTCGGCGGAGGGGCCCGGCGGCGGCGGCGGCGCGGACGGCCGCGGTTCGCCGCCGTGGGGGAGGGGGAGGAGGGGGAGCGCGGTCGGGAATGGATCCCGAGAGCGCTTCCGGCGGCGGCGGCGGCGGCGGCGGCGAAGAGGGGAGTCCGGGAGAGGAGAGGGCGGCCGACGGCGGCGGAGCAGCGGCGGAGGGCGGCCATCTCTCGCGGCGTCGCTGCGCGCTGGATTGCGCCGCGGTCCGTTTTCCGAGTTCGTTTTATATCACGTGATTAATACAGAAGAGAAAATACATTTATATTCACGGAATATTTCATAAAATTCGCAAAATAAAATCACTCTAGAGCTCGTAAACATTTTACATTAAATTTTTTTTTTACATGGAATATAATTATTGACTTTGCATTAGAAATTTCTTTTCTTAAAAATAATACAATCGAGCCTTAAATTATATTCTCATCCGCGCATCTAAATCCTAACTCATTCGCGACGTTGCCGAAATTTAGAACTAATCAGAATTGTTATCGAACAACAAAATTAATGAGAATGACATTTATTATAATAATTAACTGAGAAATTATCGAACTTCACGCAAAGTTGGATAAAAATTAATAATTCGAATCAGAAATTAAATTATAAAAAGATACCCGAACTTTAATCTAATGTGTAACGTCGTCCCTGAACTTTTAATTTGTTCAATATGGTCCATGAACTGAACCCAATGCCTCACTGGCAACTAAGGACCAAATTGAATATTTTTCAAAAGTTCAGAGATCTCATTGAACAAATTAAAAGTTCAAGGATAATATTACACATTTACCAAAAGTTCAAGAACTATTTGTATCATTTTCCTAATTGATTACAAATGCCTATAGGACCGACTAACCAATGTTTCAATCGAGTTCGTTGCGTGAAATCCAGCTCCTTCTACACTATTGCGTACCATGCTAGTAGTTTCTCCAACGTAAGTCGGTAACTTTACGGCAATAATTTCATCGAGTCAGTTACTTTTCGAGGGAACGGCTCGTTTTCGCTTGCTACAAGCCGTCATCACTTTCTTTCGAGTTCGTCGGCGAGAGTAGCGCCGACATAGCCGTCGAGATCACTAAGGATCGAAGTTGATTCCGGACCTAACATTTTATGCAACTTTTGGAATCCTAGAAAGACAATGGAAGAGCTCGTGCTCGATCCGGATGCGCCTAGTTCATATGACCGTGCATCAACATCACGACCCTAGCTGAAATCAGGCTTCACTAGGAACTGTAGATTACCCGAAGTTCGACTCAAGCCGACATGAATCAAACACAAAAACGGACCGCACGCCGGGCTCTCTCCGTATATAGACTTGCAAACCTATCCCGGTGGCTGCTCGCATACATCTCCTACCAGTTCGATCCCCCCCTATTTTTCGGTCACCAAATCTACGATGCGGATCCAATACAATAGAAAGGAAATCACCTGGTACTTCACAATAACCCGACACCACGTCGAGGAGGATTTTACGGAAGAGTGAGGGTGGCGGCGCTCGAGCGGCACAAGCAAATGAGCTGTGAAGGCATTAGCATACAGATAAACAAGCCGCGAATTCTTTTCTTAAGAGAAACGAATATTCGCGCACTAGGAGGCGGACATTACACGGGACAGATTGCCGCGTGCGTTGCCCGTTAGAAGATCCTTCCCGAGAAAAAGGAGAAAAACAGAAGCACCAAAAAAAACAGCCTTCAATTCTCCCCTTTTCGATACGTTGGGTACATAAAAGCCGGGGAGCGACAAAAACGAAAAAAAGCTCTAGAGACTCGGTTTAGCAAGCGATTGAGGTTGCCAAGGGAGAAACGAGGATGGCGATATTTCGACCTACCGGCTGGTGACTGGCCGCGGTTTCTAATCTCTTCCATGCCTCGTTCCGCTTCTCCGCCACTAGCCTCAGCCTTTCTCCTTCTTCCTGGGACTGAGCTAGGCAGGACAAGAACAGTTCCTCATCCATCTCCGAGAACATCCTTTTCACGCTGAGGGTCAGATTGAGCACCGCTGGGTTCCAGTGGCCCCGGGCGTTCTTCTCTAGGGCCGGGAACACAATGGGCATGATCGCCCACCTGTTGTGCGCCATCAAGCCGCCGATTTGCTCATTGTTCCATAAGAAAAGGGCCCTCTCAGCCACCTGAAAGAAATACGCAACCACACAGAAAACGAAACCTTAATTCAAAATCCACAGGCTGAAGCAACTTTGGACATCATCTTTAAGTTTAAACAAGATGAATCCACAGTCTGATTTAAGAGGAAAATCACACCAAGATGGGACGGCATGTGGATAGTTACAAGCTGCACAACCAATGAAGCTTTTACATGCCAAGACTCAAACTAACCAATTACAACCACGTGAATACTCAAAAATAAAGAAAAGCGCCGCATTCAGCACATCACTCCACATCAATTGGGCAAGCTATCCGAAGAACAGAGGATCACACGCACCAAAAGATGAAATCACTTGACCTTTTAATGTGTAATGAACTCTGCAGGAAGGAAAGCAGCTAACCTATGTTTTAAGCAACTGATATAGAAAGTAGCAGGTGTGAACAAAGTCTCATCCCTGCAGAAATCAACTAGTCCATCCTTCTTTTATAAATGACAAATCGATAGATATCCTAGAGCTAATGGAGCAAACCCTGCGACATAATGCCAACAAATGTAACAGTTGTATACCGCTCACCGCCCCTTCCTCCACAAAAGAGAGATTAAAAAGGAAAAAACCAATCATCAGCCATTAAAGAGTGTTAACAATGTTTCAAAGGAATGGCGATGGCCAAAAGATTTGGGTAAGCGTCTGTTTTTCAATTCCCAAATGAATTGCCAAGGCCAAAAGATTTGGGTAATGTGATGACACGAGAGAGAATAAAAGACTTGACAGTAAATACTAGCACCCTAAGGCTTCCATGGTTGTATACCGCTGACAGAAAAAATAAAAACTGTGAACTCAGAAGAGGAAGTGAACTGCGAAGGATTTTAATTAAGAACGTGCCATGCTAACATGGCAACCCCATCTTGGAAATTGAAAACTTATCTTCATAGATAGCACAGCTCAAATTAATTCAAATTTGTCACCAAATAGAGCTACTTTTGTGTTGCTCATGAGTGAGCTTGCAGGGGAGAGATGATGTATATGCTGACTAGCCAGACAAATGAAGCATGGTTCGCGAAGTTAGTCGCGATAGAAGCTAGGCAATGATGGGCAATCTCTGCTTTATGGCATTCCCATCAGTCCGTTAGCAGCTTTCGAGTGTTTAACCAATTTTACCCTAATTTAAGGGCTTATATGCTCACTGGAGGAAGGATGTAATCAGACTAATGGTGAATGCAAATCCTTCCTTATTATTCTCTCTATTTTTCTTGTCTCGTTTTTCAGCTGCTAATCCTGTCCATATTCTGTTCCTCTCCTCATTCCAATGGCTTCCAACAACTTGAGGATCATAGCCAACCATGAATAAATTCTTTGAAAAATCTTGAGGTTTCAGTAGGCAATATTTCCCAATTAAACATTGACATGTAAAGTCTGTCATATTAAATATTGCAAGTTCTTTGTAATGCCTAGGCACGCATGAGGCATCTTGCCTCATCATTTAAGGCAGGAGTGGTGAAGGCAAATATGTCAAGACAGAGCAAAATATGCAATTCCACTCGCAAATCATTTAACCATCATTTAACTTCTTTTTCTGACCTCACAAATCCCTATGTCGAAACAATAGAAATGTGATTTTTCATCGAACCATTTAATTTAAAGAGCCTACAATGAAAGTTATGAATGTCTACCTGTCCTCCACCCATGTTCTCTCTTTACTCTCCATTTTACATAAGCTAACATGCACAAAGGTACTAGGCTATTCATAACATGTAAAAAATGTCCTCTCTTGATCACACAAGGCAATTATAATTTCCCTAAGTAACTTTTAACATTTAGAAACTGATTGCCACCTAACTCCAGTGTTAAAGAATACATAATAATATGAGCAACTTTTCTGGAGCTATTGAGCATTTCCATCCCAGCAGCTTCTGTAAGATGCAGCATGAAATCAATTCAACGAAGCACGCAGAATTTCAAATTGATAGAAGTTTTCCCTACATAAATCGATGTTCTCCAACCTCTACAATCACACTGGCCACTCGAAAAAAGAAATAGAGAGGACCAAGAAATTCAAATTACAACAGTTTCAGACTTGCAAGCCGAGATGATCATGCAAATTACAATCATCCTGATGAGCGGGAAATCCAGAAGAAGCAATGGAAAGGTAAAATTAGATAGACCCGTCTTAGGAAAAAAAAAACCACAAGAAAAAATGGCGAAGCCTAAGAACAACGGGAAGCTAAATAACAAAGCTGCTAATAAACAATGATTACCGAAATTCCACTTTACCATAGAAAAAAACGTGAAAGGAAATTCAAAAGGCCAACTTGATTACCTGGAAGTGGAAGCTGTTGATGCAACAACTGATCCGCAAGAAAAGCGGGACCATGACCTTCTCAAACTCTACCGTGTTAATCGTTTCCAGGATCTCTTCTATCTCACCCAAGAACATCACTTCCTTCTGGCTATTAGTTATTGGCCAATACTTCAATAACCCCTTTATCACGACACTGGCTAACCTAGGCTCCTTCTCTATAAATTGCATTATACAATACGATAGCTGTTGAAAGTACACACCCAAAGACTTAGGCTTGTGCAGAGGAATTACAACCCTCGAAAAGAAGATCTTGTGTTCTTCTTTTAGAGGCAATGCAAACCCGCTGATCACACTTCCGAAAATCTCCAATAATTCAGCAATCCCATTGTGCTTCTCGGTCTCAAACACGAACCGGTAGAATATACTGCTTATGGACTTCCTTATGAAAGGCCTGTGAACCATAAATTTCCCATAAATTCTATGCAACGCAGTCTTCAGACACTCTCTTTCTCTGGGATCCTCAGAATCAAACAAATCAAGCAATCTCAATATGAAAGCATGGTCGATATACTTCTTAGCAACTTTTATATCCAGACAAGACGAGGTAATGAACTTAAGCAGTATGTCGTACACCACCTGCAAATGTGACCAAGCAGGATCGAACTTCGGATCATCGTGGTTGTCGTTCTCGCCGCCACTACCAGTCGAATGGGACCGATAACTAGGCGGAAACACCCGGAACAAATTAATAGCACACATCCTGCACATCGCTAGAACCGCGGGTTCGGCGAACCTGACTGATCCAGATGCTACGAATTCCAGAATCTCGATCAGGATTTGCCGCTTAACATCTTTCTCCATGGTATTCTTCCCCGGGTCCGTGAAATCGAATGTTACGCAGCAAAGGCTCAGTTTACTCACCAAGAGATTCATCTTTTCGGATGCCGGGACATCTTTGAACGGCACCAAGGGCTCGATCCCGGCGATCACGCTCGCCGGGAAGACCACCGAGGACGCGCGCCTCGGCCCATTGGATCGAGCAGACGACGAATTGCCGCCGCCCGATTTCTGAGCGCCATCGGGAGACCCCGAGGCGGACTGAATCGACTCGCCCGAGTCCAACCTGGGCGTTCTCCTGGGGATTTTACTGAGAATCTGCTTAAGCATCGTGGAGGGAAACCCAAAAGGACAAAGCGAAAGGGTCAATCGAGAAAGAGGGTTCGAATCAAAAGCATCCAAGATCGTTCCTTTAAGTTAAAAAACGAGCACTGACGCCTAACAGAAGCGGCACAAAACCCTAACCACTCCGGCGAGGATCGATGGGGAGCGACATTGGGGGAATCGGGCAAGACCCAGATGTCCAAAACAGGCGAGAGTTGGATCGTGGGCGGATCAAAATCAAGAACTTTCCTTCTTCGCAAGAAAGAAAAGAAACGGCAGCTAAAGAAATCTCACTGGGGGCATGAAACTCTGACGAAAAGAAGAAGCGGGTATCAGCATTTGGTGCTAGAGGCGAAGAAAACAGAGCCCCTGTTCAGGCGACGAATGCTTCAATCGCCCATGCATGCGTCCGGGCAAGAACGAGAGACAGAGACACAGAGACACAGACATGAACTCGCGAACCGCAAGAAAGAACGACAGGAGCGTGCGATGCGATGACGAGGAGATTTGGGTCCTTAAAGAAACCACGGAATTTTCCCTTAAGCTCGTGTGGGAGATCTTGGGTTTGAATCTCGCACGATGATCCCCCCACACACTGCGGTTCTTTGAAAGATCTGGAACGGGTGGAAAAAAAGGGAAAAGGGGAAGAAAGAGAGAGGGCCAGAATCTGAGAATCGGAGAAAAAGTTGATGAATGTCTTTGGGCTCCTCCTCCTCCTCCTCCTCCTCCTCCTGAAGGGTTAAAAAATTTGCAGGTTTTGTCAGACGGAACACGAAGGAGTTGCTAAAATTAATGAAGGGAGCAGACACTGCGATTTGCTTTGTCCTGTTCTTTCTTATCTCGGTTTTGTTTTTCTCTCATTTTCTTCTCGCGGTTTGATTTTATCTTTCTATTCTTATGGTTATTTATATGTGTATACTTTGAATTTAATGTTCGCCCCCATACCTAGCATCGTCTCTAAAAAAGAAAATGTAATCGAAAGTTCTAAAGTAAAGCCCTTAAGACTTATCCAAATTTTTGGGAAATTTTTTTCCAAGATTTTCTAAATTTTTAGAAGTTTTAAACTAAATCTGAAATGAAGTTAACATTAATATCTAGTGAAATTAACCCAAAAAAATATTTCTTAATTTTTCTGAATTTTTAAATATTTTTCTAGACTTTTTAACATTTTTTTAGATTTTTAAACATTTTCGGATTTTTTTTTGGAATTTTTCTTTTTTAATATTTTTATATATATTTTTAATATTTTTTAAAAAATTATCATTTTTTAATGTTTTTATTAATAAAATAAGAACTTTCGGACCGGATCCCCCGACCCAATCCGACCCGGCTCTCTTATCCGCTCAAGACTCCCTTTTTCTATTTCTTTTCTAAATTTTTTTTATTCTTTTTTCTATTTTTCCCTTTTACTCTTCTATTTTCTTTTCAAATTTTTATTCTTTTTCTTCTTTCCCCCTCTGTACTGTTCATCCCCTCCTCCCTCGCGTGCTCACTGAGAGCCCTCACGTTTTCTTCAACCCTCACGGAGACCACATCGGGAACGCTCACCGCCAGCCGTTGGCTCGGCGGACGCTGGCCTTATGCCGTCACTGCTGGCCAACATTCCGGCGACCACACCGGCGGCTTAAAGAAACAGCCATAACTCCCCACCGGCGACCAAAACTCACTTTCCGGCCATCCAACTCTCGGCTCCTACCACAGACATTTAACTCGAACAAAACAAGCACGAACAAATACAGAATGGGGATAAATGGCTATCGATTGCGGCCTCAAACCGCTGGCTTCTCCGGTTAGAGGAATAGGGCTCCCGGCGACGCGTTCAACCACGACCGACTCATGACGCGCGAGTACCATAAAAACATATGAAAAGAAAATAAGGCATGAGATCAGTAACAACACGAGAATAATCCACACTTACAACAAAGTTTGGGGTGTCGGTTTCACAAAAGCAGACTCGGAACATCGTTTGGGCATTTCATTGAACATGCGATAAGCTTGATTTAACGTGAGCTTTAGGCTAAGATTCAAAGCGGTTTATGGCTCGAACGTGATGTGTGAAGCTTTAAACAGTCATGTTTTGCAACAAAATAGCAACAAAATAGTCTTGATTTGCAATAGAACGTTAAATAACAAAGCTAAAGGGCTAATTTTAACAAGATCCATGGTTTTTTTTTCGACACATAATGTTTAGAAAAGGTTCACTGAGTGTTAAACAAGTGTTAGCCTGTGTTGACGGGGGTCGGGCAATCACCGAATGAACTTGGTGTGCCCGGCACCCGAGAAGCAGGGGAGAGGACGGCCAAAACAGGGTAAGACAATGAAGACCCACCTGGTTCACGGCTAGCCGGGGCAAGGCGTGATGGCTGGAGGTTCGACGGCGACTCAGGCGGGCCTCCGGCAAGCAAGTGAGGCTCTCTTCTCTCCGACTCCCCTCAAGCTCTCTCTCGGTCTCTCCTCTCACTCTCTGTTCTCTCTCTGTGCGCTCTCCTCTCACTCCCTGTCCTCTCTCTCTCTGTTCTTTAAGAACTGTCACCCCGTTTCCTCTCTCTCGTCCCCTTCCAGACGGCTTTTGCTAGTCAACCACGCCAGTCGTGGGGTTGGCAAAGTCTTGTGATTGGAAGAGATGCCATTGCTTCTCATGTCATGTGGGCTGTGGGTAATGGGAGAATATTACCATTAGAGAAGACTGGTGGCTGAAAAGTGGAAGGCGCGTTTGGTAACGCTTTTGTTTCTCTATTTTTCTGTTCTTCTGTTCCTTGAAACAAAAAAAGAACAGAAATCCGTTTGGTAACGCATTTTATTTTTCTATTTTCTGGAATAGAAAAGTGGCCAATAAATAGATTTGGAGCAAAAATAAGAAGTACAAAAAATCTACTTCTTTGTTCCTAAAAATAGAAATAGAAATAGAAAGGTTCGGTCCTCAAGCCGCGACCTCAACTCCTCCTCCATCCTCCATCATCTGCAAACCATCTCAAAGCACCGGTCCGGTCCATTCTCGGCAGAAATAATAAAAAAATTAATTAAATTATAAAAAATTCAAAAATTCAAAAAATTCATAAAAATCAGAAAAATTCTCAGAAAATCCATAAAAATCAGAAAAACTCAGAAAACCCATAAAAATTTGCAAAATTTCGAAATTGAAAAAATTTAAAAAAATTCATAAAAAGCTTTCTGGAAAATAAAAAGAGACAGATTTCGGGAAAGTAAAAAGTTTTAATAAACTTTTCCCCTAAAAAAATCAAAAATAAAAAATTCACATAATGGCTTAGAATAAATTAAAAAATTCCGAAAATTCATAAAAATTAGAAAAATTTCAGAAAAATCCCATAAAAATTTAGAAAATTAAAAAATTCCCAAAATTCATAAAAATCAGAAAAATTCTCAGAAAATCCATAAAAATTAGAAAAACTCAGAAAACCCTTAAATATTTGCAAAATTCCGAAATTGAAAAAATTTAAAAAAATTCATAAAAAGCTTTCTGGAAAATAAAAAGAGACAGATTTAGGGAAAGTAAAAAATTTTAATAAATTTTACCCAAAAAAATATAAAAAAATTCACATAATGGCTTAGAATACCTGTGGCCACCCACTTTGAGTGAAATTTAAATTTTTGAGATGCCCAAGTGGTATTTTTGAAGATTCCTTAGTTTAGGGATTAAAGGGGATTTTAAACCCCTAAAAAGGATTAGACAAACCAATAAACCATGCTTATTGGTTTTTTTCACTTATAACTTGTACTTATAGTTAAATAAAAAGATATAGATTTGAATGCAAAAAATTAGGAATAGAAATTTTGTGCAATTACCAAACGCATTTCTGTTCTTTTTCTATTCCAGGAATAGAAATTTTGTGCAGTTACCAAACGCATTATTTTGCTCAGAAACTCTTCCAGGAAATAGAAATAGAAAAAACTATTTCTGAAAAGAAATTGTTCCCAGAAATAGAAACGTTACCAAACATGCTCTAAGTGGCCAGCGACGAGAGATGAACCACTCAATGTGGCTGGCTTGATTGAAAGAGAAAAGATGTCCGCTTTCTAGAAAAAAAAATCGTTATGGAGCCGTTTAACTTATAAAATGATAGAATGATGCACCCTAGTGAAAAATATTAAAATGAGCACGAGCCTAAATAAAAATTATAGAAGTTGTCTGGATAGCATATTGCATAGAAATCAAATTAGAGTTATAAATGCGTCACAAAAACAAGATAAAGGCGGGTTAATGGGCGGACCCAAATCCCCAAACACAACTTACTCGACCTACGCGGTCTAAGAACGCACAGCCAGAAATAGAGATAATACAAACTCTTATTTATAATTCTTCCGAACTCTTCATGCACTTCGCGCGAACTCTTCGTGCAACTTCTCCCGATCCGTCCACTAGACCATCGGTAAGGTCGCCTGCTGCTTCTCAAAAGCTCAGGCTGCACCCTGTTGAATTGCAGTATAGCCTGAGTCGCGAGGGGTTTCAGAAGTTTAACGATAACCACCAGGAAGAAGAAGTAGGCGACGAGAAAACTGAGGATTTTCCAGTTTCTGCCAGAATAAATCCAGTCGTTATCCATATGTAGCAAAGAGAGAGAGAGAGTGAGTGAGTGCAGAACTGGAACTAGACAACTGCGATTTGGGAAAGATTGATGGTCTTGAAGATTTAACGCTTTTGGAGATCCTGAAAATTTATGGATGCAGTATAATAAACCTTGATGGGGTCAAAGATTTACCACGTCTCAGGAAGGTGCAAGTTGTCTCTTGTGATCTTGCCGGTCTATCAGAATTACACAAATGCGAATGTGAAGTTGGACATTCGCAGTTTAGGCTATGCGTTATCTTGCATTCTTTTCGATCGGTGGCTGTATAGTCTCTTTCCTATACGAACTACTGTTGTACTTTCGAGTCTTTGACAGGACACCTCCTTTTTATTCTGAGAAACTGGACGGCAACCTCTCTAAGGTACATTGCTCCAGTTCTGTTTACAATTCTTTTTAACCGAAACAAAGTTGGATTTTATTGTTAGCACAAATTCCTTATGTGTATATTGCATTGGATATGTGCAGGGCCATAAAATAGCCCAGGCAAATTCTTCGCGTCCGGCTATTGGTAGTGGCATCAAGAATCTCTCGTCAAAACCATTGCTGAAGGTAATGCCTACACTCTTTGCATGCTTCATCCCCGTGCATGCGTCCGGGCAAGAAAGCAAGAGAGACAGACTGACATGAACACGCGAACTGCAAGAAAGCGTATATTTGTTTATCTTGTTCGCACGACATCTTTGATTGAGCATTTGAGTGAACCATGCATGCTTGTCCAGGGTGAAGGGGAACCATATATTTGTTTATCTTGTTCGCACGAATATTACACGTATGTTGCACGGATATTGCACATATGTTGCACGGATATTGCACGTAAGTCTCCCTTTGATTGTGCATATATTAACTGAGATATTATCTTAAAATATTGATCTAATCAAGCGGGCTTGCCCTCCGGGAGGAAAGAAAATCCAAACACAAACTATTTTAGAGTTATAAATGCGTCACAAAAACAAGATAAAGGCGGGTTAATGGGCGGACCCAAACCCCCAAACACAACATACCCGACCTACGCGGTCTAAGAACACACAGCCAGAAATAGAGATAATACAAACTATTCTTTATAATTCTTCCGAACTCTTCATGCACTTCACGCGAACTCTTCGTGCAACTTCTCTCGATCCGTCCACTAGACCACGGTAA